TTTTTTTTTGGTACCGAGAATTGAACTCAGGACCTTGCTCTTGCCAGGCGGGCACTTGTGCCGCTGAGCTATATCCCCAGCCCTTATTGTACCTTTTGGATCTTATTTACTCTTTCAGTTTCTTACACTAGGGCGACAGTACGATGTTTACACGTGAGTCTGATTTATTTCACTTATGAGTATGGTCTCTAGTTGCATCCATTTACCTATAAAAGCCTCGAGTTTATCTTTCTTTATAGCTACTCCATTGTTTAAAAATACCACACCTTTTTTATACATAAGTAAACAACTCTTGACTCAGTTGATCATCTCTGCTATAAGTTGTTTTATGTTTAATTCATTTCTGCTTCTCTTTGCTCTTTGCCTTTAAAAAATATTTTGCTTTGCTTATTTTGTTGTTTTATTTTATTTTTTTTTCTTTTTTTGGTTTTTTTCTCCGGTACCGGGAACCGAACTCACGACCTTATGCTTGCCAGGCAGGCGTTTTTGCCGCTGAACTAAATCCCCAGCCCCTTATTTTGTTGTTTTAAAGACTTCTTTACGTGAAGAATTAGATTATTTTCTAATATCATTTGATGCCATATATTTTCCTATGTACTACTTACCTGTTTTCAGAATTTTAATATAATCCTTTCGTTTTGGTCATTTGATACCATAAATTTCTCTGTGTAGTTATTTATCTACTTTCAGAATTTAATATATAATCCTGTCTTTTTTGTGACTGTTTATTGTCTAAATTGCATTATGGCTAATTTTATTCTTTAACTCTTGCATTATTTAGAACTGTGTTTAAATTCCTTAACATTTAGATGCTTTCCTTTTTTAAAAGACTGATTTTGAGCTTAATTGTAGTAGGTCACACTGTGAGATTTGTGTGATACTAATTCTCTGGTTTTTTTTTGTTTTTGTTTTTGCTTTTGTTTTTGGAGACAAAGTCTTGCTGTGCCAGGCTGACCTTGAACTCACTGTGTAATTGAGGCTGGCCTTGAATTTGCTGCAATCCTCCTGCCTCAGCCTCCTGATTGAGTGCTGGGATTATAGGAATATTCGACCATGCCTGGCCTCTGATATTTTTAAAGACATTTTGTGGCCTAGTTAAGTGTTAATAAGTGCTCCATGTGTGCTTCATAAGAATGCATACTGGTTATAGTGTGTTCATATATCCATTAATTCTATTGCTCACCATCTTCTGTAGCTTTTTAGTAGCCTTTTCTTTCTTCTTTTTTTTGAGATAGGGTCTTGCTATGTAGTCCAGGCTGGCCCTGAGCTCACCATGTAGCCCAGCCTGCCCTCAAACTTACAGCATTCCGTCTGCCTCGGCATCCCAAGTGCTAGGATTACAAGCATACATCAGCACACCTGTTTTATTTATTTATTTATTTTTGTAATTTTTATTTTTTATATATTTTTTTATTCTGGTATCAGGAATCGAACTCATGACCTTGCGTTTGCCAGGCAGGCGCTGTGCCACTGAGCTAAATCCCCAGCCCCCAATTTTTGTAATTTTTAATCTGCCCAAATAATTAGTATTTTGGAGAGGAGAGGTGAAATCTTCTACTGGAAGAAAGGTTGAAAAATATCTATTATCTTGAATATGTCAGTGTTTCCTTAACAGTTTTCCTATCTGTGCTTTATTTATTCTGAGGGTATTTGTTGAAATTTATAGGAGTTTAAGATTTTGATATCACATTAATTAATTTAACCATTTATCCTTTGCCTAGTAATATCCTTTTTATCTTTAATAGTAATTTTTGTTACGAAGTATAATTTGTCTAATATTAATAGAATTATACCAGTTACCTTGTAGTTAGTATTTGAATGTTATTTCCTTTTCAATATTTTTACTTTCTACCTTTCAGTATCCTTATGTTTAAATGTATCTCTTGTAACCATTATGGCTAAGTTTTTAAAACTCTTGTTAGCTGGGCATGGTGGCACATATCTGTAATCCTAGTTACTTGGGAGGCTGAGGCAGGAGGATTGCAAGTTTGAGGTCAGCCTGGCCAATTTAGGCAGACCCTGTCTGAAAATAAAATATAAAAAGGAGTGAGGCATGATAGTGTGCATACCAGCACTTTGGGAAGCTAAGGCAGGAGCACTGCAAGTTTGAGGCCAACCCCAGCAATTTAGTGACTTAGCAAGATTCTTTATTTAAAATAGGGTCAGTGATTAGCTCAGTGTGAAAGCCCTGGGTTCAGTCTCCAGTACTGAACAAATGAACAAAACAAGACAAAACAAAGTAAAAAACCACAAACAACAACAACAAAACTCTACTCTTTCCACCTTAGTTTTTAACTGAGAAACTTAATTCTTTTCTGGTGTCTTATTATTCACATAATTGATCATCTTTCTTACTGTTTCACTGTGCTTTCTATTAACCTCACTTTTTCTGTGATTGTTCTATCACAGAAAATTGTATACTTGGAATTTTTTTCTCATGTCTTTTTAAAAAATTTTCTCCTATTATATCTTATTTTGGATTTTTTCTTATTTTTTTCTTCTTGATAATTAGATACACTATGCTTTTTTTAGTGATTATCTTATAATTTTTACCATGTAAACTTTAAAGTTAAGCCATTTTCTAGGGCTTCTTCTTCACAAATACAAGGATTTTAGAATATTTTAACTCTTGATACCTCCCTTCCAGCTTACCTGGTATCATTGTCCAGTATATACAGACAGTGCTTGTTTTTATTAACTTTTATTGTTACTGCTTTATCTTTTTTTTTTTTTTTTATTGTGGACCTTTCATCTGGGAATTTCCCTCTGCCTGATAATCACCTTTTAGAAACCAGTAAAGGTCTAGTTGGTATCAAGCTGCTTTTTAAAGTTTTAATTGGAAGATGCTTTTGTTGCCGTTTTTCTTTTAAGATACTTTTTGCTGTATGTATTCTATAGTGACATTTATTTCCTGTTATGGAAGATTACATTTAGTTCTCTACTCATTTCTATTTTTATTATTGTTTGTAGACAGCTAGCTAAAACATTTTTACAAAATTGTCTTATTGCTTCATATTCATCCTTTTGTCTTTGGTGATTGAAAGTTTCAGTACTGTGTTTTTATTTGTGGATTTCATCTTGTTTGGGGTTTGTTTGCCTCTGAAAATTAGGGAATTGTTGTCTTTGATCAGTTCTGAAAAACTCTGGAGCATTATTCTTTAAATTGCTTTTGTCCCATGCACTCTCCTATCTTTCTGGGACTTGGAAGGGTTGGATACTAGACCTTTTGGCTCTGTCCTTGGTTTCTTAACCTGTCTTTCATATTTTCTGTCTTTTTGCTTCTCTGTGATCTGAAACCAGACAAGATCGAGGTAGGTAAATATGGGAGGCAGATTTTTCCCAAGAGGCAAACACTGACATTAGATACAAAGTTTTGAGTCTAACCTACAGTAAGAGAGTTTCAAGTGAGATGTTTTCATTAAGACCAGACTCTTGAGGGATTAAACTGTACCATCTGGTCTCTGGGTAGATGCAAATACAGAAGCCATATGAATGAAAGTACCCTCAGTTTAAGGTCTAAGGATCCCCATATGTTAAGTTCAACTGTGTATGAACTCATTAACACAAAGAAATGAGCCAACATGAGTGAAAGAACAAATAGCAAACTTCGCATTTAGACATCTAGAGACTTTATATACTGGAATTTTTTGTTTAAACTTAAAATGTAATAACATGTTTGATTTTAGTTTATATTGGATCTAATTTTATTGTGACATAAGGACACTTTGGAGCATTGTAGTCTGCCATGTTGGAATAAGTGAAAGCCTCTGTAGTGGGATGTTTATACTTACTAGTTTATAATTAACTAAAACCTTGAAATGAGAGTTCAGCAGATTGTAAATTCTTAGGAGGTTTTTTTTTTTCTTTCTTTTTTTTTTTGAGATAGAGTCTTACTCTAACTCAGGCTGGCTGGCCTCGAACTCACGGCAGTCCTCCTGCTTCAGCCTCCTGGGTGCTGGGACTATAGGCATGTGCCATCATGCCTGGCCCTTAGGAGCTTTTTTGCAAAGCTTAAGAGCAGCTTCTTCTAGTTTTTGAAACCTAGTTATTCCTAAGGGCATTTGGTAAAGGGCATTTGGAAAAGAAAGCCTTCTAGAATAAGAAATTAGAATCAAATAATATATATATTATGTCATGATAAACTGGGTTTGGTATTGTTTTGTATTAGAAATGTATTATTATTGAGGGTCGGGATATAGCTCAATGGTAGAGTGCTTGGGTAACATGTGTAAAACCTTGAGTTTAAGCCGCAGCAGTGAAGAAAAAAAAAGAAATGTGTCAGCATTTTCCAGGACATTATATGTTCTTCTTTTTTTTCTTTTAGCTCACTTATCAATTATTCACCTTCCCTTTTGTTCCCTGGTATTTTCAGGCGTAACATTCATGGGATAAGCAAAGAAAAAATAACAAGAATGTTGGAACACTATCAGCGTTTTGTTTCGGTGCCAATAATCCTGAGTTCTTCGGTGCCAGATACAATTGAACGTATTGAGTTGTGTGCATATTCTTGTGAGGACAATAGTCCCAGGTAAGTTAAAATGCCTTGTTTACCAAAATTTATTTTAAAACATGTTTTTTTTTTTTTAAATGGTAACTTTCAGAGCTTATGAAATCTGTGCAATTAACTTTAAAAATAAGGTAGACTTTTATTATTTCGAAGTGTGTAGGTACAGTCTTATCTGGATTTAGCTGAGAATAAGTTAGCAAGAGAAGTGAAAGTTCATATGGGAGGCAGGAGAGTTTTTCATTGTGCTTTGGTTTTGTGCATGTGTGATTATACTATGAATGTACCTGTCTTTGTTCCAGTGTTTCCCTTACTTCCTTACTATTACTGTTTTGGTATCCATATTACTTCTTAGTTTTCTAAAGTTTTAGTGAAAAGCTTTTAAACTGGTATCATAAAAATTAATTATTCATAATTTACCAATACAAGTTATGAGCTATGGTTTCTTCGGAAGTTTACACTTTGGGAAAATACTTGTGCTAGTTAGCATGCTGTCACAAACAAAATACCTGAGACCTGAGATAACCAATGTATTAACAGAAAAGACTTATTTTGACTCACAGTTGTAGAGTTTCTCATCCACAATCACTTGGCTCAGTTGCTTTCACCTTTGGTGAGGCTGTGTAGCATGGCAGAAGCATGCGGCAGAGTGGAGCCACTTACTTTGTGTCCAGGAAGCAAAAGAGAGGAAGAGGTAGGCCCTTTTAAGGGTGTACCCACAGTGACCTGCAGACTTTCTGCGAGGTCCTCCCTCTCAAAGCTGTCACCCCTCCTGGGAGCACCACCCAGAGGACCAAGACTTTGACTCATGGGTCTTTGGAGGACACTAGTTCAAACCATGCAGTAGTAATTCTATAGAGTATTTAGAACACATAAAAAATTGAATAAATAAATTAATAAATAAGAATCAATATATTTTGAGGTCTGAAGTGCCATATTTTTTTGATGGTAAGGGATGAGAAGCTTTGTTAAAAAGGAATTGAGAGTGGGGTAGAGAAAATTTATAAATGCTTTTTTACTGAGAAGCAGTGATCCAAAGTGATTAAGAGCATGGGCTTGAGTTATATGTCTGGGTTCAAATCCCAAATCTTTGGAATCTTTGACAAGTTACAGAATCTCTCTATAGTTCAGCTCATTACTAAAATGTCAGTAATATACTCTGCTCCTAAGGAGGTCATAAAGGTTATGAAGTAAGACTGTGAAAGACTTAGAGTAACATCTTGCACATGAAAAACTTTAACTTTAGATGTGATTTCACTTAGGAAGTCTTCATGGAAGAATTGGGATTTTGAGAGTTCTTAGAATAAAGAAAGAAAGACAGATGAGTTGACAAATTGAATAAAGAAAAAACACTGAACTTGAAAGTATAATGATTGTGCAGAAGTGCTCTGAATCTGAAATTAACATCCAGAAAGTTTTTAAACGTTTAGCAAATGACATCTTAAGTGAGAGCTCTTTCCCCCTTCTCTCATTTATCTTAATCATGCAAATCATGTTGATTGGTTCTTTGTGACTTTGTACATGAAGCTTCCTTTTCACAAGTGGTGGATAGATACAGGAGTAGACCCATGGTTAAGCTATGCTTATATAGGTTTGAAAGAAGTGAAGGAAGTGATATCCTGCTCTAGGGAGAAATTCAGTCTTAGCTTTCTTATTTAATGTGTACTGAACACCTTAACTGAAAAACTAATGTTTCCTTTTCAATTAAAAAAAGTTTGCCTTATATATGCCAAGTATTAAGCTAGATGTTGACATTACAACAAGGGAATTGAACCCAGGGCCTTGCACATGCTAGGCAAACACTCTACTAGTGAACTATGTATCACTGAGCTATGTATGCCACATACTTTTACAATTTTAATGTAGTTTTTTAAAAAAGAATACGTGTTAAGTATACATGGTAAGCTGCATAGTTCTTTAATTTAAATCATAGTATTAATGGCAACATTGAGAGACTTTATTATAATATTTTTAAAAAACATTTTGCAGCCCAAGAGACAATGAAGACAATACCTCTGAAAAAGAAGAAAATGTTTTATCCTCATATTTGCAGCACCTAGAGTTCGCTGAAGAGAAGGGTCGTGAAGTGACTGAAGAAACCTTATTACCAGCAAATGTTACATGTCTTCCTCATGCAGATTCAAACAAAGGAGGGGAAGAAATAAGTGGTATGAATCATAGCACTCAGAGTGCTTTCATGAAGGAAGTTCCACACATGTGTCTTTCTGACTCTGAAAACAAAGTTCAAGCAATGGACAAGAGGGAAAAAAAAGAGGAAGTAGCAGTGACCTCTGGGAAGGAATGGACTGAAACCCCTTCAGATAGTCCTATAGAGAGAGTATCACCAACTTTTTGCTGCGGGGAAAATAATCAGGAAGAATTTGATTTTGCAAACAGTGTACCATTTCAAAATGAAAAGTCTTCACATGGTGAAATATTAGAAGAAAGAATCACAGTAAAGAAAAAAGCTGTTGAGAAACAAAAAAGCAAGTCACCTGTGGAAAAATTTCCAAGACATGAACTTTCAAATTTTGTTGGTGATTGGCCAGTTGATAAACCTATTGGTCAGAGGACGAAAAGGAACCGAAAAACTGAAAATTCTTCATCTGTACAAAGTGACAAAAAGTATAATTGCCCACAGTCGTGCAGAGCATTAGATCATAGCGTACCTGTGAGTATGTATCCTATCCAGGAGCAAGGATCTTCATGTGAAAGTGCAGAGGATGGCAGGAAATCACAGTGTGATGATCCTTCAGAATTCCTCAGTAGCTGTAAATATGGTACTTATAAAAATACTGAAGAGAACTCATTCAGCATCATGGGTGACTGGCCATGTTATTCTTTAGCTCAGAGAGAACACAGATCAAGAATGCCAAAGGCTGATACAAGTGAACCCAACCTAGAATTTGGAACTGATAACAATACAAATGAAATGTCCTTGTACACAGCACATGAGGCCTGTTGGGGCACAAGCCCTGAAGAATTAAAAATGTTGGGTAGCTCCACTCTACAGAGTTCTGAGATGGCCAGTGAAATGACCCATGAGAATCAGACTTACTTAAGTACACAGATTCCTGGGCAACGCACATTGCCTCTTTCTTTTCCCACCAGTGTAGCAGCAGCTTCTGGAGTACTAGGGCCACAAACTTTAGCTAAGTTTCCAGGGGAAAGGTCTAAAAGAGGCGCTGAAATAGAAGTAGGCACAGGTACCCAGACTGAACCACAGGATTTTGCCCTCTTATGGAAAATAGAAAGGAATAAAATCAGAGTTTCAGATTCTGTCAAAATGTTAACAGGAAGATTAGATGGATTTAAACCAAAAGCTTTCAGTATTAACACAAAAGCAAATGTTCAACAAACAATTCCATATAGGGTAATGTATGATAAAAGCACATATGTTGAGGAAGATGAGCTTACCAGTATTAATGAATCTGAAAATCTTGACATTCTGTGTAAACTATTTGGATTCTTTTCATTAGAAGCCCTGAAAGACTTATATGAGAGGTGTAATAAAGATATTATTTGGACTACAAGCCTTCTGTTGGACTCTGATACTAAATTATGTGAGGATACAGAATTTGAGAATTTCCAGAAACCATGTGATGAACCACAATTTGGGCCATTTTCTCTGGGATCTGATTTGAAGGAAGTAATTAGCCAAAAAGGAACCGTAGAGGATTCTAATTCTTCTGTGCCAGAGTTTCATGGAATTAGCACCAATAATAGTAATGCACAGCCTACCTGTGATGCAGAAAAGGGAAACTCAGAGCAGGCAGAGGTACAAGGTATAACCCTTGAAAACCTTGAATTAGTACGTACATTTCCTAATGCTACTGCAGGTGTAAAGAGTAATAATGAAGTACTTCCTAACAGTCAGGCAGAATTTTCAGACTTATGTATCTTTGAGCAGTCTCCTCCAACTGTTCTAAAATCTCCTAACCCCAGTGATGTAAGTGAAATGGAGAATAGTCTAGTAGCCACGGAGATTGGAGATGGTATACATTCATCTTTAAATTTGTCTGAGACTCCAAACTCTGTAGCAAGCTTTTCAGATCTTGAATTAAATGAAGAAGTTCATTTTACTGAGACTTTGGAAATAAAGAAAAATGAAAATCTTCTAAAGGACTATGAGAAATTTGCAAGCACAGAAGAATTTATGAATGAAGATGAACAGGAAATGGAGAAAATTCTAATGGCAGGAAGTAGTTTGTCAGCTGGAGTTAGTGAACAAGATAAAACTGAGATATTGAATCCCACACCAGTGATGGCCAAATCTTTGACCGTAGACTGCCTGGAATTGGTATTACCCCCTGAACTGGCTTTTCAACTTAATGAATTATTTGGTCCAGTTGGTATTGACTCAGGTAAGAAAAAAGTAAATTATCTACAGGTGTATCAGTTATGAAATTATTTCACATGTTAAGAAATGTAAAAGTAATTTGCATTGCCTCATTTCACATAGTACTATGACACGGTTTGTTTCTAGAGTACTTTTTAAAAATGTAATTGAAGTAGATTCTACTATATGTTGTTTTTAATCCATCCTGTGTACATATTTAAAGCTTGCTTTATTATTTACCTCACACTTGTTTGTACACATGAACTCTTTATATCATCTTCGTGCCAGCATTAATCCTTGCTCGGTAGCATGGTGCACACTTGTAATCTCAGCTACCTGAAGGCTGAGGCAGGAGAATTGCAAGTTTGAGTCCATCCTGGGCAATTTAGTGAGAACTTGTCTCAAAATAAAATTTAAAAAGGACTGTGGCTGTAACAGTGTGGTAGAGCCCTTGCCTAGCATGAGGAAAACCATGGTTTGCTCCCAAGAACTGGGAAAGAAATCATAGACCAGCCTTATTGAAAGGCCTCAACTAATATAAATGAATCAGTTAAATGTAGACTAAAAATGAATAACTTAGGTTTATTTTGAAGTTTTGTATAATTATACCAGTTAAGTAGTTTGAAAATAAAGGGATATAGCATAAAAATATTCCAGGAAATGTAGTAAATAGAAACATAAATTAGTAATTAATAATGCAAATTAGTTGTACAGTGCATATGGTTTTCTGCAAATGTATGATGAGTAATGATTATACTTTTCTTTTTCTTCTCTTCACAAGGGTCTCTAACAGTTGAGGATTGTGTGGTTCACATAGATCTGAATCTGGCTAAAGTGATTCATGAGAAATGGAAAGAATCTGTAATGGTTGGTGGCTTCTTTTTATGAAGAGCTCCTTTTATGTCTGTTTTATCACCACTGCTTTGCAGTAAAATCCACTGTGTTATATGAATAAGTTCTACTGCATTTTGACTTTGAAAGAGAATGAAATTTTACCAGTTATGAATTTACCAACTGGATGTAGTGGCACATGCCTGTAATCCCAGTACTCAAAAGGCTGAGACAAGAGCATTTCCCTGAGTGTGAGGCCAGCCTGGACTATAACATGAATTCAAGACCAGCCTGAACTACACAGTGAGACCCTCTCTCAAAAAGCCAAAAAAAACCCAAACAAACAAAAACAAAAAATGTTTACTAATTGTTTTTGTTTTTTCAGTATTTGAAGTATTGCCAGACTGACCAAATTATATAATTTGCAACAACGGTTGTGATGATTAAAATTCCTAAACAGTGAATTTTTCCCTCCTTAAAAGTGTACAGTGCAGCTCAGCATGATGTTGTCCTCCTATAATGCTAGCACTTGGGAGGCTGAGGCAGGAAGATCACTCTGAGCTACATAGTGAGTTCAAGGCCAGCCTGGGCTGTGTAGCAAGATCCTCTCAAAAAAGAAAAAAAATATTGCAATGGTCATTAATTAAATTTCTAAAATGTTTTTTGAAATGCCTCATATAAGATCTCCATAAGAAGAAAAATATATACATGTAGTTATAATTTCATTTATCTAACTTTATTTTACTTAGATTTAGTAAGAGTTATTTACAGTTATATAAGAGGAAATGGCAGGGCATGGTGGCACATACCTGTATAATCCCAGCACTGGGGAGGTGGAGGCAGAAGGATCACTGAGTTTGAGGCCAGCCTGGGCTACAGAAGTGAGTTCGAGGCCAGCCTAAACTACATAGTGAGACCCTATTTTAAAAAGAAGAAATAAACAAAAAATCAAAAAAAAAAAATCAAAGAAAAAGAGGAAATGATTTCTAGAGAAAAACAATATAACCTGCAACCTTATTTACTGATGTGCCCTCCTTTGCCCATTCTTTGCTTTTTATTTGTGTTCAGGAGCGACAGAGACAAGAGGAATTGTCTTGTGGCAAGTGTATGCAAGGTAACGCACATACTTTTACTTCTATTGTTCTTACCTTGATGTTGAAACTTGGCATATGTTTTAACTCATTCTAAATATACTTCCACAAAATACGTTACTCATGAACTTTGATTTGCAAATTAAGATTCTTTAGAAATACTTGAATTGTAATATAAAGCAAAAACTTAAGGGTGGAAAAACGAACCCTATCTATTTCATATATTTATTTAATCATCATGAGTGCTTTGGAACACCTAAAGTGTGCTGTCTGATACATACGATACACACAATCAAAATGTTTCCTGTTAAGGTTTTGTGCTGTATGAAAGAAAACTTTTAGGGCCAGGGGTAGTATAGCTCAGCAGCACAAGTGCCTACCTGGCAAGCACAAGGTCCCAAGTTCTATTTGTGGTACTAAAAACAAACAAAAAACTTTTGAATTGAAAGAAACAGTGTTTATGTGTTTGAAAGCATTTTTGAATTACTACTGTGCTTTTCAAAAAATTTATTGATATCAGTATTACTGATAAAATCAGCCTGCTTTTTGGTTCTTCCTTTCAACCTGAAAATACTAGATGTCGTCTCTTAGACAGTGTTGTTCTCAGTGAGGACCCTAGGCAATCTCCTCTCTTCCCCCTTCCCTCCCCTTCCCTCCCCTTCCCTCCCTGTTTATTGTGTTTCCAGTGAGTTATAGATTTGCCAAAACACTGATCCTCTCAGTTCTTTAGTTGGCTGGACAGAGCTGACAAGAGCCATTCCAGTTTCTTACTTCTCACTAGCTATATCTTCTGTTTACCAGTGTCCTTAACGTACGTCACCATTTTTCTGTCAATGTGATATGAAAAAGAATGAGAGGAACTGAGTTATTTTACAGTTATACCCAGATCATTGATCATTTAAAATATTCCTACATTTATACATATACGTTCTTGTGTGCAATTATGTGAAAATGTATTTTGAAATTTCAGAGTTGTGTTATATTTACAAATCCAAAAGCTAAAAACTGAGTTTTCTTGGTTTCTTTGAGGTAGTTGTAAAAGTGAGTAACTTTTAGTTTGTATATTATTTGTTGAAGATATGACACTATTTATATTGCTCTTCTAGATCCTTCCTTGGTTGGAAATACTGGTCTCAATAATCCTGAACAAAAATCATTTCAGAAAACAGGTAGAAAATTACTGAGGACTTTAGCAGCACCTGAAATGCTGCCCTTCTTGGATCATTGGAATACTCACACTAAAAAAGTATCACTCAGAGAAATCATGTCAGAAGAAATTGCCTTACAGGAAAAGCATGATTTGGTATGAGTCAGTACAAATATTAAACTGTTGTTTTTGACTGTAGTTAATTGTATTTGCTTACTTTGTGATGTTCATTTAATTCTGTGTTTCCTAATCTAGAATCCGTATTTAACCTGGTTGAAGTTAATGTTACAATTGAGATTTTTGTATTTGGAGACAGAGTCTTACTATGCAGTTCAGACTGGCCTTGAACTGACTATGTAGCCCATGCTGGCCTTGAACTCATGGCTGGCATCCTCCTGCCTCAGCTTCCTAGGTGCTGGTATTACAGGCAAACGTGACCATACCCATTTGAAAAATGTTTTTGGTGCAGTCTGAAGTTGGAGGTTTTTGCTTTTAGGTAGTTGATATTCTAATAATAATCCTTCTACATTATATTTGTGTTGTCTTAGATTTAATTTTGAAGGTGATTAATGTGCATTTAATTTTGAAAGTGATTAATGTGCATCTGTCTTCTAATATTTACCTTTTTTTTTTTTTTTTTATTCATGGTCTTGCTATCTAATGCAGGCTGGCTTTGGGCTTGTGGTGATCTTCTGCCTCAGCCTCCCTTGTGCTGGGATTACAGGCATGTGCCACCATGCCCAGCTACCTCTGATTTTTTTAATGTTAGAAAAACATGAAAGAAATCTTTTATTTAAAGATAAATTCATACATAAATTAGAAGTATGAATTGTTCATCTTGCTATTAAACATGTGTCCATCTTTGAAACAATTTTTTTAGAAAATTTGAGAAACTTAATGGATTTGAATTTTAAAAATTATGCTTTTTCAGTTGGGTGTGGTGGCGCACGCCTGTAATCTCAGCACTTGGGAGGCTGAGGCAGGAGGATCGTTGGAAGTTTGAGACCAGCCTGGGTTACAAAGTGAGCTCAAGGCCAGCCTGAACTGCATAGTGAGACCCTGTCTCAAAAAAGACAAAAAAAAAAAAAAAAAAAAAAAAAAAAATTATGCTTTTTCTAACTTCAGTTAAGTTAAAATAGAAACCTTACTTTTATTTCTTATTTTGACTTATTTTTATTTCTTTATTTCTTATTTTCTTCATATTAAGCATATGAAGCCACAAGTGAATTTGGTTTCTTTTGCATTTTTTCTCATCTTTTAGTTCTGAAACTTAATATTAAAGAAGTTCAAAATCAAAATGGAAAAGAGCTTAAAAGTTATTAGTCCACTTCTTAAGGGACAAAAGTAATTCCTAATAGTTTAAAATGCATATCTTAGATGGTAATCTTAAGCTGTTTTTCACTCTTTCTTACTCATTTGGTTGTAATATATAGAATTGGGGCGTAGAAAGAATGATGTGATTCTTCATATTTATTTTTTCTAGTTATCTTGTTAATTAAATTGGTAATGTACTACCAGTCCCATCTTCGCACGCTTACATAATCAAGGAACAATCAAGTAGCAGTGTTGTATAATCTAAGTGTTGTTTCAGATACCCTTCTTAATCTACGTGTGCAATTAACATGTAAGAAGGATTTTCTTAGTATAAATAAGGAATGCCTAATAACATTTCTGCTCATATGGTTAACTACTTTTTCCTGTAATTCCCTTTTCCACTATAAATTTACCTTTACAACCCTAACCTGTTTTTCAGTCCCTTAATGTAATGAGCAAGAGTGCATCTTTTGACTTCACAATTTTGGGCACTTTTTTTCTGTCAGTGATAATTTGCTGTTAGAAGCTGGACGACTTAGTCTCAAGGAGACTTTAGATAGATCTTAGTAGAATTTCTTAGTGTTTTCTCTTTGCTCTTTGTGTCCAGAGGAGAAATACATTTGGTATACTTTTTAAACAAGCAACATAAAACAGATTTTATGTATGATATATTCATGGAATAGTTTAAGATGATTAAGGACATGGGCTTTCAGTTCATTGAGGAGATGTTAGAATTTGTATTTGAGAAACTCTGGGGCCTGGTAGACTGCTATAGTAAAACTGACCATTGACTTTTTAAAAAATAAATTCAGGTTATAATGCATATTTTAAATAAAATATGAGATACCTAAATTCTTGAGGTGGCTTTTTTCCATCACCCTAGTGATGTGTTCAGTTTTGTCAGTCCTTTTTCCTGGTCAGATTTTCACGTACTGTTCTTTTCTTTTAGTAGTTTGGTGCTATCAATGGCTTCAAAACAAATATGTTATTTGGGTTATTTAGGGTTACTGTAATTTTTAAAGTTAGAAAATTTCAGAGTCATCTTTATTGTTATATTTTCAATGTTTAGGAGCAGAAAATACTCAGTTGCATCTCAGGGTGGGCAATGTTAGAAGCCACTGAAGTCACTTCACTAATGTTTACCATAATTCTGGGTTAGAATTAAAATAGCGTATTTTAGGAAAGTTCTTTTGGCTTGGCAGTGTTAGGTTGGCAGATCCAAATATGAATTGTGAAAAATAATAACAATTTTTATAGTTATTTTGAAGTAATTATGTTTGTGAAAAATAATTATGAATTCTAAGATTTTTCTGTGAGCCTGATTTGCAACTTATTTGTACATTGTAGTTTCTTCCCATTGAGGAAAAAATGTTTTTCAGGATATTGTTCACAGCATCAGACAGTGTCTCTTTTATGAAGACCCATGGGAGAAAATTCTCTCAGTCCTCAGTATCAGAAAAGCTGTACTTCTGAACAGCTGGTTTGTTTTTATTTTGTGGATGCTGAGAGTCTTTTTCTTCTTTGCTTTGGACACTAAGAGACTCAGAAATAAATTTGTGGTCTATCTTTAGCAATCATACAGGGTTTTGTGGTATTGATATATATACTAATTTTTCTTGCTAGCTTTATTTTCTCTAATCTCCATCTTCATTTATTTATATCCTGTTTATATGTACAGTCATGTATTGATTCATGATCAAGGGTAGTATTCTTGGAAATTTATCATTAGGCAATTTTGTCATTGTGTGAACATCAGAGTATACTTAGGCAAGCCTGGATAGTATAACCTATAGTTTAGCCAGATTTACTGATGTGTATATGCAGTCAGCCATTGACTGAAACATTGTTATGTGGTATATGACTGTATATATCTCTTCATACTTTAATATGAATGTATGGAATGTGTATGTGTGCATATATTTGTATATACATGCACACACATTTGTATATGTTTGTATGTATATATATGAGCAATTTCAAATACTTTACGAAAATGAGACATACCTAAATAGTGTGAGAATACTTAACACTACTTATTTTAGCCTTTAATCAAAGAAAGTCTGTGAGTGCTTATAAATTAATATTTTTTGCAATAGCTATGCTTTTGATTAGCTATGTTAGTATTTTAAGTTTCATCTTAAAGAGTGATTTTTGTGTTTTTATTTTAGAAAAGGGAGACACTTATGTTTGTAAAAGATTGTGCCACTAAACTAAAGGAGAAGCAGCTCTTTAAGATGTTTCCAGCCATTGATCGAAATTTTCTGATGGACATTTTCAAGGATCACAAGTGAGTGCTGAAGGATTGATTGTTTGTATTTTCTGTTAGGATGTCGCTGAAAGGATATGGCAAACAATCTCTGATGTTTATTTTTCTGATAAAAGTTATATAAGCAGTTCAAATGCAGTATACATGGTGAGTAGTTTCTTTCAGTTCATGTTCCTCACATATATGCTAATATCTGTGCATACATGTGTACTGTGAGCTTTTGTGTATGTATATGCATATACATTTCATCAGATCATATTCTTATTTTATGTGCTGATTTTGTAGTTTTGCTGGGATTTTCTTATCTGTACATAATGACTTGTTCTTTTTCAAGTGTACAGAGTGTTCCACAGTAAGAAAGTACCATCATTTATTTAAACATGTCTCTAATTGTGGAGTATCTTTTTTTTTGAGACAGGGTCTTGCTATGTAGTTCAGGCTGGCCTTTAAAGTACTGTCTAGCCCAGGCTAACCTTGAACTTGTAGCAGTCTTCCTGCCTCAGCCTCCCAAGTGCTGAGATTATAGGCATGCACCACCATGCCTGACTGTGCAGTTTTTAACTGTAAGAAAAACTGGTAACTATGTTATAGTGAGCATCCTTGGGTACATATCTTTGTATATATTGGTGAATGCTGTTGTAAGATAGTGCCTAGAAGTGAGATTATTGGTTTATAGAGTGTATACATTGAAAACTTTTATAACTAATGCCAAACTTCCTTTAATAAAAGCTGTGTGTATTAGTTATATGGTTATATGCACTAAAGAGTGTAACCTTCCTGGATATTAGGAATTAAAAAAATGGTTTTGTCCATCTGGTAGGAAAAATGATATACTACTATAAATTTCTATTTTCCTGATTGCTAACAAGGTGGCTTTTTTTACATTTCTTTTCCTACCAATTACGCACTTACATTTGCCTATTTTTCTGTTGGTTCTTTCTCTTTCTAGTTTTGTGACACTCTTTATGTATTATGTATAGTTATTTTTGTCTGTTAAGATAGGTTACAATTATTTTTCCTGCTATGATACTAATCTCTTAACTTGGTATAGTCTCTTTGGGCATAGGTATCTTTTAATTCATATATGTAGCAGCAAGTCTTTTCCTTCATTGTTTTTGTGTTTTATGTCTTACTTAGGAAGTCTTTTCTATCCCAACATTATAAAAATATTTTTAGGTTTTTTTTTTGTCTTTTTGAGACAGGGTGTTACTATGCAGTTCATGCTGGCCTTGTGCACACTTTGTAGGCCAGGCTGGTCTCAAACTTGCAACTATCCTCCTGCCTCGGCTTCCCAGTGCTGGGATTACAGGCATGTGTCACCACGCCCAGCTCTTTAGTATTTTTAATAGCTAAATTGTTTTTCTCTACCTTACATTTTTATGTGTGTGGTATGAAGTAGAGATTTATAAATGAGGTGGCAGTTTTCCAAATAACTGAATGAACGGATCATCTTTATGCATTCATGTAAAATATAACTAGCTATTTGTTAGGTCTTTTTTTTTTTTTTTTTTTTTTGGGACAGGGTCTCGCTATGCAGTTCAGGCTGGCCTTGAGCTCACTTTGTAGCCCACCCTGGTCTCGAACTTTCAACGATCCTCCTGCCTCAGCCTCCCGAGTGCTGGGATTATAGTTGTGTGCCACTATTTGTTAGGTCTTGAATTGCCACAATATTGTTTTAAATTATTATAGTGGTATAGTGCATCTTGATGTTTATTAGGAACAGTTCTATTTAGTTTGACTAATACATACTTTTTTTTTTTTTTTTTTTTTTTTTTCCAGTACTGGGAATCAAACTCAGGATCTCATGCTTGCCAGGCAAGCGCTGTGCCGCTGAGCTAAATCCCCAGCCCAGTGCATACTTTTTGATCATACGTTTTTTCTTAACATCTTGGTTTAGCAAGAATTAAAGATACTTTATGGAATCTTTTGAGAGTATGTGTTTTGAACTTGGTTAATATATTATTGTATCCATCACAATAATAGATTTCTGGAATAATACCTGCTTTATCCTGAGTTTTGGTTTTTTTTCTTTAATGATGTGGTATAGTTCTTGATTTACTAATTCATTAGAATTTTTGTAACAATTAAATGAAGTTTTGGTCTGTAAGTTTTCTGTTCTTTGCTATTTTTGTCAGATTTTGGTTTCAGGGATTTATTTGGTGTCAGATAAGACTGCCGTTTTTCTGTCTGCTATGGAAAGTTTAATTAGTTTGGTAATTTGAAGAGATACTGGATGTGTATATTTTTGAAGAGAGGGCTTTTAGAACCGATTACTATCTTTTTAAAGATTATTGCTGTATTCAGATGTTTGCCTTTTTGTCATGTGTCATTTCTGTCTTTTAGGTGTAGTTCTGTCTTCTAGGTGTAGTTTTTTTTCCAGAAGATCACCAATTTCACCTTAGTCTACAAGTTTATTATTTTAAATTATATATAATGTTATTTATAATTAAAACACTATATTTGATCATATCCCTTTTTCTTAGTTAATGTTGCATATTTTGTGTTTTTGCTTTTTATTGGATTGGTTCTTTAAATGACAAACTCTTGGTTTACTAGTCAAAGTGTGTTAGGTTTTACATTTATTTTTGCAGATTCTTTTCTCAAAAATGTTTGCTTTATTTTCAAGTCTTTGGTTAGTTTATTTCCTTTTAATCATTAATCTCAAATACATTTAAAGATATGATTTTTTTCCTGTATTGAGTTCTGACATATAGTACTTTTATTTTCAATAAATGTCTAATTTCAGTTTGATTTTTTTTTTTTTTTTTTTTTTTTTTACTTATCTAAAGTTTTAAGATTTTCTAAGTTATTTGATGCCTTTGGTGGTGATGTTAGGAGGTTATTTTTGTTGTTATTTTTGTATTAGGGTACAAGAAAGTAGCTTAGAAGAGTACAAATTTTTAGAATTTGAAGTTCTTTTTGTGGTTTAATACATGATCAGTTTCTATGAATAATATATGAGAATCTGTTTGAAAAGAATATTCTCTGCTAAAAACACAGAGTTCTAAATGTGTCACATAATGTGTCACATAGGCTTTTAATGGTATTGGTTCAATTCATAATTTCCTCATTTAGTTTTGCTATCTGATCTGTTTTCTTAAGTTTATATATTAAAATCTCCTGAGGGTTGGGGTTAGTGAGGTTTTTCTGGTATATGGTAGCTTTTTTCCTGCTGGGGTCAGGGTCAGAGGACTCGAGGTAAAGCAACCCAGGCAGGGTGAGGCGCTGGGTGAGCCCTTTTGGGGGAGGCCAGGGGGTCGTTAGCCAGGCTCTTCACTCTTCACTTTTTTTGGCTGATTGCCTCCATTTGTTCGTCAACAACTGGATAGTTCTCTTTGTAAGAAGAGGTAGCTTTAGATTCATTGTGGTAGAGGTTAGGTGGGTGTACTTAGTACTGTATGTGCTTGTGATACAGTCTTCCAGGGCCAGAACTGTCAAACAAAACCAGTGGTGGAGACTGACTTCCAGCCTCTCGAGGGGCCAGTGATATTATGGGCTCGAAAGGCTATAGATTATTGCTGGTACCATCTAGCTCAGTGAAGGTGAACTTTTTAGAGACCAAGTGCCCAAGCTGCAACCCAGAACTCCTTTATTGCAAAGCGCTGACACTGTAATTAAACCTGAATGCTCGGCAGCAGGGGTTCTTTGTGCCCACTGCAGATGTGTGCTATAGGTTCACCGTCAGTGATTGTACATATTGGAGACAGCAAGATCAGAGCTTCAACTGGTGACTCCAAATTACTCCCCTTCAAAGGTTGTCTTTAATAAATTGAAGAATAGCAAAATATCACACTTTTAGATTAAAATTTAAAAAATATTTCTGTGTGGTCAGCTCTTCATTTTCTGACCAGTGGAAGAGATGAGCTGAAATCAGGAGCAGTATTATATCAGTCATACTTTTCTTTTCACCAAGTTTCTTTAAATATTACAACATGAGTTATCAGGTGTTGGTCAATTTGTAGAATTCCATACTACAGAGAATATACTATTACAGTGAACAACCTGCTGAGAGGGGTAGGATAGTGTTTTACTTTTCCCGTTTTGCATTTCTGTTTTGGATTTTTTAAACTAGAGCTTCATGGTGTAAGTAAACGTAGAATTTGGCACAACAAAAATGTCAGTTTAAAGGTCTAATTGTCGTGAGTTTTTTTTTTTTTTTTTTTTAAGGAAACTGAAACCATGTATAAATGCAATAAAGGACTAGAGTATAGGTGATATAGTAAAAGAAAGATATTTTTTGGTGTGGTTACTCTAGCTAGACTAAAAGATCAGAAATTGAATTATCACTGCAACTTTTTGGTGCTGGGGATTGAATCTGGGGCCTCACTCATCACATATATATATGGTTTATATTAATGGGTATATAAACATAAAGTTGTACATGTTAATGGACTAATGTGTTTCAATGCATATATACATTGTGAAATAATTTATTCAGATTAAGTATATCTGTCTCATTTATCATTTTTTATGATAAAAATTTTCCAAATCTTTCCTTCTAGCTTTTGAAATTTGCAGTATATTAGAGTTGATATCTATTATCATCCTCCTGTACATAAGAACTTCTTGCTGTATATAACTGTAGCTCAGTACCCACTGATCAGCCTTCCCCTACTATTCTTGGCACACATTGGTACTTTTTGATATTCATTTTGAAAAATTAGTTTTTGGGAACCTGTTACTTGTTAGTTTGGCTGATATCATTCTTGACTCTGAATTACATAAAGAACATTTAATTTCAATGTTGAAAACTTAACAAGTCAGTTTTTCATATTATATAATGTTTGATTGCTTATATTTAAGCCTCCACATATCTTTTTATTTTTATTTATTCACATATTTGTACTTAAACTTTCTACAGCTATTCATTAGAACAAACAGTGCAATTTCTAAACTGTGTTCTTGAAGGAGACCCTGTAAAAACAGTTGTAGCTCAAGAGTTTGTTCACCAACATGAGACTGTCACTTCTCATACTGTACAGAAGTCTAAAGAGAAAAAGGTATGGGATTCACTCATTTTTTACTATAATGGTAGATAAGAGTGTATAGAAATATGATTTGTTTCTTGAGCATAATAATTTAATGATTATCAGGATTTTTTTGTGGTACTCGGGATTAAACCTAGGGGCTTTGCACTGAACTACGTCACTGACCCCCCACCTAAGCATTTTTTATTTTGAGACAGGGTCGCTCTTTGTTCCCAGGGCTGGGTTTCAATTTGTGATCCTCCTTCCTCAACTTCCCAGAGGGCTACAAGTGAGTGCCACCACGCCCAGCTTATTTCTCACCCCTTGACTATGTTGGAAGTTTATAGCTGATTGTATTTTTTCTTTAATGTCAGCGTGCATGACAGCACTTGAATTTCTACAACTCCTGTGTAGAAATTACTTTTTTCTTTAACAACAAGAAATTTAAAAACAAGATCTCTTCTCACAAACCAAAATTGCATTTTTTTGTTTTTTATTTGTTTTGTTTTGTTTTTTTCTGGTACTGGGAATCGAACTCATGACCTTGCGCTTGCCAGGCAGGCACTGTGCCACTGAACTAAATCCCCAGCTCCCAAAATAGCATTTTTAAATATGAATAGGTACAGAATCCCTTATATAATGAAATATTTATTATGTTCATAGTATTAGGTATATGGGGATTTTCAAAAGTTCAAGAAAGCATTTTTATTACCCTTTCCCAAAATCTTTGATTTTATTAGGAAGGCAAGACATACACTCATGGAATATCTGAACATTAATATAAACTAGCTGTGACTAAACAGCACTGAAAATGACATAGGAGATGGTTCTGTGAATATTCTTACATAAAAGACATCCTGGTATTCTGTGTTTTTCATAAAGTAAGCTGTGTATTTGTTAAAAAAAATTGATTTACAGATTTTAGTTTCTGATAATGAATATAGTGATATCTTTATTTTTTTAAATTTAATGTCCTTTAATTTTTTCAAGCCTTTTGAGTTCTAGGGTCGAAGTAATCAAAATATAATGAGAGAAGAAATTATATAACCAACTAGTGTTATATATTAGGCTAGTTTTCTTCACTCTTTCTTGGCTTCTGAACTGTTCCCAGGAGGAAGATTTGAAAGAAAGTTTACTTTAGTTATTGATATATATGTGTATACATTATATAATACCTATAATTTTAACATAACATTTAATATGTGAAATAATACTACATAAATTTTTTTTGAGACAGGGTCTTGCTGTATAGTGAGTCTTGAACTCAATACTACATGAAATTTTTAAATCATTATTCATTGAAGATTGTTTTTTATAGAGTAGATTATAATCATTGATAATTATCTTTTCTTTCCTTCTTTCCTTCCTTCCTTCTCTCCCTCCTTTTCTCTCTCTTTCTCTCTCTCTCTTCTTTCTTTCTTTTGTCTCACTGTGTAATTCAGGCTGGCCTTGAGAGGCCTTGAACTTGTAGTAATCCTGCCTCAGCCTCCTGAGTGCTGTGATTACAGGTGTGTGCCACCATGTCCAGCAATAGTATTTCTAAACAAATGACAATTTTCAGCTTTTTGAATTTTTGTTTTTTTAAATTTTCTAATTTTTTAATATTTTTATAGTTTCTGTTTTACAAAATATTGAGCTGGGTGTGGTGATGCACACTTACAATCTGAGCACTCTGGGAGGCAGCGGCAGGAAGATTGTAAGTATGAGCCCAGCTTGGGTAACTTAGTGAGACCATATCTCAAAAAAATAAAAAAGGGTTGGTGATGTAGCTCAGTACAGAGGTCTAGGGTCCAGTAATGAAAGGTCCCCAGTTATGAAAAATAATTACAAAATAATGGTTTCAATGTTGTTGTTTGATCATACTCACCTACCTTGTAAGCCTCCCTTATACCTCTCTCCATCCTTGCCCTTTTCTTCATCTTATTTAATAATAGTCTCCCTTCTACTTTCTTGTTAACTTTTTAGATTCCATATATTAAGGGAAAACATGCAGTACCTATCTTTGCGTCTGGTTTATTTCACTTACCATGATACATTTTTCTGCAAATGACATAATTTTGTTCCTTGTAATGGCTGAATAATACTCCTTTGTGTCTGTATGTACCTGGATTTATCAATCCATCCGCCTGTTGATTGTCACCTGGGGTGGTTCTATAATCTTGGCTATTGTGAATTATAATGCAATAAACATAGATATGCAAGTATCACGATGTATATTATGCTGACTTTAATCCCTTTGGGTATATACCAAGGAGTGGTACAGCTGGGTTATATAGTAGATCTATTTTTATTTTGAAGATTTTCAAGTACTGATTTTGATTTTCCTCCATACTGATTTTCAGAGTGGCTGTACTAATTCACCTTCCCACCAGCAGTGTAGTACTCCCAACCCCCACGTCCTCTCCTACATACATTGTTTTTTGTATTCTTGATGATAGTCATTATCACTGGGGTGAGATGGAAACTCAGTGTAGTTTTTGTGTGTTCGATTTGTTTTTTAAAGATAGGCTCTTGCTACATAGTCTAGGCTGGCCTTGAACTCATTATGTGTCCCAGGATAAACTCAAACTCAACATCCTCCTCCTCCAGCCTTCTGAGTGCTGGGATTACAAGAGTGTGCCACCTGCACCCACCTCTCAGTATAGTTTTGATTTGCATTTCTCTAATGGCTAAAGGTGTTAAACATTTTTTTCATATGCTTATTGGTCATTTATATTCTTTTGAGAAATGTGTTCAATTCATTTGGCCATTAATTGATTAGGCTGTTTTCTCATATTGAGTTCTTTATCTGTTGTAGATACTAACTTCTATTGGTAGAGTAGCTGGTAAAGATTTTCTCCCATTCTATAGGTTGTCCCTTCACTCTGTGGGTTGTTTGCCTTGCTGTGCAGAAACTTTTTAGTTTAATGTAGTCCCATTTATTGGTTCTTGCTATTGTTTCCTAAGTTATTGGAGTTCTATTAGGAAATCTTTGGACCTATACCTCCGATGTTTGCCCTAGGTTTCTTCTAACAGTGTGAGAGTTTCAGATCTTATACCTATGTCTTTGATCCATTTTGAATTGATTTTTATAAAGGGTGAGAGATAGGGATCTAATTTTGCTCTTCTAGAAGTGGACATCTGGTTTCCCTAGAAGTGTTTATGAAAGAGGCTGTTATGGTTTGGACCTAGATGTCTCCCTCAAAGCCTCACGTCGTCAAAGGTGGGGCTTTTTCAGAGGTAGCTGGATCTAGAGTGTGTGATGCTAGGATTAAAGGTGTGTGATTACTAAATTAGCCCACGAATTAGTTTGGCATAGTTCAGAGAGTGGTAATATGAAGTCCCTCCCTGGGTGTGAATGTTACCTCCTCAGAGGGCTTGTAGCCTCCATGTAATATAAGGAACAGAAAGAGGGCTGCTGTCATTGCTTACTGCTTTGCAGCATTCCTACCTTCTGCCTGCCATGAACTGTTTTTTCTCTGCAATGCCCCTGTGCCTTGCTACCCTGCCTTGGAGCTAGCTGATTATGGACTGAAACCTCTACAAATTGTGAGCCAAAATTAACTTTTCCTCCTTTAACTTTAGGTGTCAGGTATTTTGTCTCAGCATTGAGAAAAAGAGACTAAGACAGAGGCTATCTTTTCTTCAGTGAATGTTTTTGACTCCATCGAGTCAGATGGAAATTTGCGAAGTATGAAAAATAGTTGCATGCATTTGTTTCTGTATCTTATGTTCCATTGGTCTTGTGTCTATTTTTTGCTAGTACTATGTTGTTTTTATTACTATGGCCATGTATTATAATTTGAAACTAGGTATTTTTATGCTTCCAGCTTTGGCTCTTTGCTTAACATTACTTTGGCCATTCTAGGTTTTGTGTGTTTTCATATGAATTTTAGGATTTTTTTTTATTGTGAAGAATGTCATTGGAATTTTGATAGTGTATTGAATGTGTAGATTTGGTAATTTTGGTAATATGGCCGTTTCTGCTGAACCATAAACATAGAAGGTCCTTCCATCTTCTAGTGTTTTACTTTCTTTCTTCAGAGTTCTGTTATTTTCGTCATGAAGGTCTTTCATCTACTTGCTTAGGTTGATTCCTAGGTATTTTTTTTTTTTTTGAGGGTGTTGTGAATGGAATTCCCTGATTTCTTTCTCAGCTAGTTCTTTGTTGATTTTTTTAATATTGATTTTGTATCTTGAGCTTTTTGAATTTTAACAAGTAACCTGCATTATTTCAATTTACTTTTGGTTAATTATATTAGAAAAAGCATGATTTGTTACAGTATTGAAAATTACAATTTTTTCATTTCGATGTTGAATTTTCATAAAATGTTTATTGCTGTTTATAAGCAGTTTTCTCTGTGAATTAGAGAAAGGGATAAATGAAAAGCCAAGTTTGATATGGAAATCACTGTACATGTTTTTGGTTAAAATATGACTCTTAAAATATTCAAAAATGCAATTTTCCTATTTGGTGGGGAACACTGAGGCAATTTGCGTGTTTATTATTTTCATTATTATGTGCTTTATATTACAGATACTTTTATCTTTAAAAGGATATTTTGGATAATAATTACATGGTAACTTTTTAAAAGATGATTGAAATTGTGAAACAGTTAACTGATCATAGTGCCTAGTGGTAGTTACCTGGTTGAAACTCTCCCATAAACATACTTACGATTTTTATTAAATGCTGGCCATGATAACTCCACAAGCTCTTCTGTTTTAAATATAATATTATTTGATTATTTTATTTTTTTAAAATATAAATTGAAGTATGCCATCATCACCATCAGTGACTGAAACTTTGAATAGATTTCTATTGAATGGAAATTGAATGGCATTTCTACACTGGCTGAGTTTCTCTATCTTATATCCTGTATTCTGGCTTGATTTTTGTGACCTACTTACCTTTTGACAACTTCAGAGAACTCTTCAACATCTCGTGAAGTAAAAGTGCTTAAAGAAAGGGTAGCAGTAATGGCACAGAAGAGTTAATAATAGTCTGTAAGTGCTTGACTTACAAGACACTGACTTAGAATCTGTTTTGAAAAGGCGAAAAATAAAGAGAGCCTAGTTTTATATGCATTTTCTGAAGATAAGTCATGTGTCTTTTTCTTTCTTTGTATATTATTGTGAAACATCTTACAGGCAAAAAAGTTAAAGGAGACTGAAGATAACCTGAATGAGTCATCTTTCCAGGATTTCCAGTACCCCAGGTATGATGACTACAGGGCCGAGGCCCTCTTGCACCAGCAGAGGAGAATGGAGTGCTATGGCAAGGCCAAGGAAGCATATCGGGTGGGGAAGAAGCACGTGGCCACCTTTTATGCCCAGCAGGTAAAATGGAAAACTAATTATTTTTTCTTGCCGATTATGTTAGCCAAAGATTCTTGAGGTAGATCTTAAATCCCGTACTGTGTTGTGACTGGATGAAGTTATTAGGGAATGTAGAGATTATACAACCGATATAAATAAGGTACCCTAATACAAAAGAAATCTGATTTCAAAAATTGCATCTCCTTTGTTCACTTTCTGTCATTGCTTTTACACTTACGGCTTATATGAATTACAGTTTATTCTGATGATCACCTTTTCTTTTAAATTAGATTCTAACATGCAGGAGCATTCTAAACAGATACAAGTATTCTGGAGGAAAGAAGAATGTTAAAATTGGCCATCTCAGGGTACAGTTAGGGGTCTTGAGCTTTCTATCATGTTTGAATTCTTAGTGTATATTACTCTTATAATCAGAAGAAGGAAATGGCATTAGTATTTTTCAGGGAAATAAAATTTCTACCTGGGCTCATTTTGCATGCTCTTCTAAGAAACCACTTTGATTCTTTGTTATTTTTGTGGTTCCACCTGGCTTACTTTTTTGAACAGAGTAAGATGTCAAACTGCTGCAGTCATGTTTTATCTAACTGCAGTCCTGAGGACCTGGCTTCAGACTTTTAACTGCAAGATTTTGAAAGGAAACACCAAGCTGAGACCCAGGATTATCCAGAGTATACTTGTCATCAAGCAGTAAATCAGTGCACTCTATCTTCAGACATAGTATTTAGTTGTTCCCTTCTTTTACAATTTTTGGTTCAGAAAATATGCTAGAAACAATGATTTGCTCCCTCTACTCCAAGGAGGGGAGAATGGGAGAGGGAATTGAAATTGCTGAGGTATATTTATTTACTAATCCCTCAAAATGAATGTAAACTTCATGTGTTACAAATGTATACTAAAAAAGTCAAACACCAGAAACTACTTAAATATACAAGTATGAATGGATAAACAACTTGTGGTATATCTGTACTATGAAATATTAGTTAAAAATGAAGAGAAATGAACTATTGACATTCAGTATATAACAACATGAATGAGTCTTAAAACATGACATGGAATAAAAGCTGAGCAATGTAATAATAAACAACAATTCACCAGTTTAAGAACTATATTTCACTGAAACTCACATTTTGGTGCATCTTTGTCAGTTAGCCAAGTGCATTAAGGTTTTAGATTTATTACTCTGCCTTTTATTTGAGTCATTATTAGTTTCCTCATTGTCTGAGTCAAAAGTATCAAGTGTCCAGTGGTGATTGGTTTATAATTATAAAGGGTAGTCTTCATGAGCGGAGGATGAAAGAAGCCCATCACCTTGCTGCCGTGGAGATCTTTGAGACAGTCAACGCCTCCCTGCTGCCACAGAATGTGTTAGACCTCCATGGCCTGCATGTGGATGAAGCTATAAAACATTTGATGACGGTTTTACAGCAGAAAACTGAAGGTAGAACTGTGGTTATGACACCTTTTCTATTACTAGTGTTGGTATAACTTACAAATTCAGGAGTATCTGAATGCACAGGCTCAGGATAGCTGCCTCATTTGTAGACAGTTGTGTTAGCCACTCTTCAAGAGAAGCTTGGCATAGAACTCTCACTGATGACTGTTAACAGTTCCTTTTCTTTTATCTCCCTGTTTCAGTAATGTGTATTTCTTTGCTCTGTTTAGTTAAGAGGGAGTTGCACTATAACTGGAGGATAAGGATATAGCATTATTCAATACTTACTTATTTTTTGTCTTTTTGAGACAGGGTCTCACTATGTAGTTCAGGCTGGCCTTGAGCTCACTTTGTAGCCCAGGCTGGTCTCAAACTCACAACAATCCATCTACCTCAGCCTCCTGAGTGCTGGGATTACAGGTGTTCACCACCACGCCTGGCTCAGTACATACTTATTAAACTTACATATATTTATTGGCTATAAATTATTCAGTTGGTGTTTAATAAAATAAAGAAGTAAATGAGGTAATAAGATTTTTGCAGAGTTGTCATAAAGGACATGCTTTCTAACTGTCCATAGTGTGTCCTGTTTCTTTGTTCTGCCTCTTCCAAGGGCTCTGGCTAAAGGTCTTTTTTAATGCCTCCATCCAGTATTGTGATTTCTTATATGCTAAAATGTCTCACCACATCTCCTTTTCTTTTCGGTTACTAGAAAAGTTCAAACTATTTTATTTACCTCATACTGTAGTACTGAAAGTCACTTTTCATCATTACTATTTTTGAATTGTCCACCTAGCTTTCTGTCTATTTTTCTGTTTTATTGGGGAGATTTTAAAGCCCTATACCTCAGTTTTTACCTGTGGCTACATGGCCCTACACTGTCATTGATAGCCATGTTGTTCTGGTTAATTCATATATATATGTATAGTTTAGTAGGCTTTATACCATACTTTATACAGAGTTATCAGTTCAACACATATCACTTATAATTTAATAGTTGAATCGGATTGATACATAAGGCTGAAATTTCATGTTTACTATGATGTATTACAACTATTTTGAAAAGTTACAGAATAATAAACACCTAGTGAATCCAAGAATCCAAATAACAAGTTAGAACATTTTACCATGTTTTTCAGTTTTATACTGTTTTGTTTCTACCCAGTACTTTTTTCTTCCTTTCCTCCCTTTTGATCTCTCTCTCTCTGTCTCTCTCTCTCTCTCTCAGCAGTAGAACCTGCAGCCCTTGTTCATTTCTAGTCATCTTCCTTTCCTTTCTAATTAAAATGAACATTTTACAATTCGGTGTACATCCTTCCTGCCCATTTTTACTCTATGTGCATGTATTTATATTTAGCGTGCAGTATTCCTTGTGTGAATTTTAAGAAAATGAATGTACATGATGTTATATTAGGGCATCAGCCATGCCACTTACTTTCACCCAGTAGAGTTTTCAAGACCTACTCATCTTAATGGATCTAGTTTTCCATTATAACTGCCTTTAATGCTGTATGACTATATTATTATGTATTCACTCCTATATTGATGGCCACTTAGTTATAACATTACAGTAAACTTTATTTTGCCTATCAGCATGTGTACTTTTGTCATTATCTTTTTTCTTAACATTTTTATGATAAAAAATTAACTTACAGAAAAATTGGAAAAAATCATACAATGAATACTCACATATCCTCTCTGTAGATATGATTGATTGTTAACATTTGGCCACATTAACTTAATCTCTCTAAAACTGCTTTTTGCTGAATTATTTGAAGATAAATTGTAGACATTGTGTTGCTTTAGATACTTCCACATGTGTCTCTCTCAGCAAATTTGAAGCCAAAAGTGGCGACATATGCCTGTAATCCCAGGACTTAGGAGGCTAAGGCAGCCGGAGCTATGTAGCGAAACCCTGTCTCAAAAACCAAAAACTAACCAACCAAAAATAACAGATTTGGTTTGTGGATGTAGTTCAGTGGTAGAGTGCTTGCCTAACATGCTTGAAGCCCTGGGGTTCAATCCCTAGCACTAGGGACAAGTTCATTCTCTTGCATAACCATAATACCCTTATCACTTTTAAGATATTTCACATTCACACAATAATAATGCGATACATAGGCCATATTCAGATTTGTCCATTTGTATGGATAATGTCCTGCATAGTTGTGTCTCCCTGCTGCCCCATCCAGCATCCAGTCAAGCATCAGATATTTTCCTTTGGGCCTTTCCTACCACCTCAGTGGTACCTTTCCTTGGTACCACTGAGATAGCTCAGTGGTACAAGTGCCTGCCTGGCAAGTGCAAGGTCCCAAGTTCAATTCTTTGTACCAAAAAAAAAAAAAAAAGATATTTTCCTTTGGTATTCTATGTCTGTATAGTTTCTGTAATAGAGATTTAGCTTTCTATTTTTTGTCTTCATATCATTGACAGTTTTTGGCAGGTTGTTCTACATTTTAATTTATCTGATTATTTCCTCATGATTTAGACAAATCAGGTTAAATCTTTTTTGGGGGAGGTGTTAAAATTATACCTAGGTGATATTAAATCATCCTTGGTGAATATATCAAGAGACATATATGGTCATTTGTCCCATTATTGGTGATAAGGTTTGTGGTTTTTTTTTTTTTATGTCTTTTTGAGACGGTTTCACTACACAGTTCAGGCTGGCCTTGAATTCACTTCGTAGCCTAGGCTAGCCTCAAACTTGCAGTGATCCTCCTGGCTCAGCCTCCCAAATGCTGGGATTACAGGCATGTGCTACCACACCTGGCTAAGTTTGATTCTTTAATTGCAGTAGAACTTTATCAGATTTTTCTTTGTAAATGTACCTTTCTCATCCAGGTATTATGGTACATGCCTGTAATCCCAGCACTCTGGGAGGCTGAGGCCCGAGCATTGCAAGTTGCAACCTAGCCTGGGCAGTTTAGTGATTTAGCAAGACCCTGTTTTAAAAAGTAAGAGATTTGAGGATGTAGCTCAGCATGAAGGCCCTGTGTTCAGATCCCAGTCATACACGCGTGTGCATACACACATGTTCGTGTGACACAGAATACCTTTTTTCCTTTTTAATTAATAAATCTTTTTGGTGGTTGATGCTTTGTGGTTCTTTTAACCACCATTCCTTCCCTTATAACATTTCACTTAGTGGTTTTAGCATGTATTGATGGCCCTTGGCTGAGTCAGTTATGATTATGGTTGCATAATGATGTTTTATAATTTGTTTTTATTCTGTTTATTAGTTGACATTCTTTGATGGAGGATCCTACAAACCCAGTAGTTTTTAAAGTTAGAATCATGGAAAACTTTGAAGAAATATAGGAAAGAATTGTGGAGAACAGAAAAGAAAAAATTCAAGAGCATTTGAAACACATTATTATTTGAGCTGGAGAAAAGAAAAATTCTTCAAGTATATAAAAATACTACTACAATATTCTATCAAGGATGAATAGTTATTTATACTGAACATGTATTTGATTATTTTAACTATTCCAGGCATTAATGGTAAAGCAGTGAAAAAATAGACACTCCCCCTATGAAATTTGCCATCTACTGGGTAGAAGACAATGAACAAATAGTTACACATTTAGCACTGTGATAAGAAAATAGGGGTTGTTACGTTGTGTTTAGGGTAAATTCCAAAATCCCTGTTCCTTGCCTGCGTCTCTAATCTCATCTTGTCACTACTCCCGCTTTTTTGCTGTATGTTTAATTAATCTGTCTTTCTTGACCTTCATACTAGTTAGGCTCCTTGTTAATAGCTTCTCATAGTGTTCCTCTTTATCACAGTGTTCATAAAGCTCATTTTAGCATTGTTAAATGTTTGTCTTTTTGACCAAGAATTGAGCCAGTGTTGATTACTAAATCGTGATTATGTGTAGTGCTTTTTGTTCAATGCTCAAAAAACTTCTAAATGTATGACTGTGTAAGGAGGTAATCCTGTCATCATTTTGAGCAATAAAACTATGTATATTTAATGTGTTCAGTATGATTTGATGTATGTGCACATTGTAAAATGATTACTACTGGCAAGTTATCCCATCCAGTATCCCCTGTAGTTACCGTTTGTGTGTGTGGTGAGAACACTTATGACCCACTGTTAGCAAATTTCAGGTGTACAATACAATGTCACTAACAATGGCTACCATGTTGTACATAAAATTCCTGGATTGATTGTGGTTGGAACTGAGCCTAGAGCCTTGCACATTCTGGCTATGCATTCCACCATGGAGCTATATATTTCCCCAGTCCCAGAACTTGTTCTTTTTTTTGAGACAGGGTCTCACCATGTAGTGCAGGCTGACCTTGAACTCGCTTATATATTGCAGGCTGGCCTCAAACTTAGGGTGATGCTCCTGTCTCAGCCTCCTGAGTGCTGAGATTACAGGAGTACACCACCACATCTGGCCCCCAGAATTTATTCTTATAACTGAAAATTTGTACCTTTTACCTAACATATCCCCACCCTACCCCTCCTCCCCACCTCCAGATCCTGGCAACAACCACTCTTTCCATGTGTTTTGACTTCTTAAGAGTCCACATGTAAGTGAGGTCTTGAAGTATTTCTCTTCTGTCTGCCTTATTTCAAGTAGCATAATGCCATACAGGCTCATCCATGTTTTTGCAAATGGCAGTATTTCTTTCTCTTTTTTAAAATCACAGAATAATATTCCTATATATGTGTTTGTGCGTGAATGTGTGTGTACAAACAAAATAGATTTATAATGAAAATATTTTGGCCATAAAGAAGATGAAACACTGATACATGCTATAACATGGTTGAACCTTGTAGACACGCTACATGAAAGAAGTCAGATACAGACAGCCATGTGCTATATGACTCCATTTATATGAAATGTCCCATTTAGGTAAATCCACAGAAAACAGGTTTCTGTTTGCTGAGGCTGAAAAGTGGGGTATTTGAAGCAACAGCTAATAGGCTCAGAATTTCTTTTTGAGTAAGGAAATGTTCTGGAACCAGTAGTACTGGTTGTACAACATTGTTAAACTGAAAACCACTGTATTGTACATTTAAAAGGTGGTGAGTTTTGTTACATTAACATTATAAAAAAAACTGTAAGAAAAAAAATAAACTTGAATAACTTAGCCAAGATAATACTTGTTGACATTCAAGACAGTTTCTAAAAGTCAAAGCCATCCTGATGTAGCCTGTAGTTACTGTCCATCACCACCAGATGGTGATATTGTTGAACAGAATTGTTTTCAGAGGAAAATCTGGATCTGCTCTTTGTTGCTTTTAGTCATAATATAAAAGGATTTTCAAAATAGGAGATGAATAAAAAAGTGGTCCTTGTGTGCCTTGTGGTTGAAATTTGCATCGCTACCTACAACATATTTTTGCCCCAAAATCAAACTAGAAGTTGATTAAGCCTTTAGATCTCACCGACTGTATCATAGGGAATTTCAGGGGACAGAGGAACATGTTAAACAACACCATGGGAATATGGTCAGGAAATTTTTTTTTTCTTTTTTCTTTTAAGAGTGGGAAAATTTATTGGAGAAAAGAAATGGGACTAGGAGCAGGTCCTGAGAGACAGGAGTCCCAGATGGGTTACTCCAGACTGACTTTCTTTTTCAGTAAATTTATAAGAAAAACACAAGGGGAGGGAAGACACTTAGGTTAAAAAGTTAAATATACCAGTCAAAATACAGTATAGGTCTTATTTAAACCTTGATTCAAACAAATCACTTAATTTTTAAAATTTATTTTTATTTTTCTTAGTTTTTTGAGACAGAGTCTTGTTATATATAGTTCAGGGTAGCCTTGAACTCACTATGCAGCTCAAGCTGGCTTTGAACTTGGAGTGGTCCTCCTGCCTCAGCTTCCCAAGTATGTGCCACATTACCCAGCTTAATTTTTTTAGATAATTGGAAATTTTTAGAAACTGATGATATTAAGGAACCGTTGTTAATTTTGTAAGATGGTGATATTGTGGTTATGGTTTTTGTTTTTTGTTTTTTGAGATGTGTTTTCATTGTGTTGCCCAGATTGGTTTGGAATTCTGAGCTCAAGTGATCCTCCTGCCTTAGCCTTCCAAGTTCTAGGGCTACAGTATACACCAGTCCACACGGTTGGTGTTTTTTTTTTTTTTTTTTTTAAGAGTTCTTTTTGAGATACATACTGAAATATTTGCAGTTTAAATAATAAGCAACCTGGAGTACTCTTAAAAATGAGTTATAGGGTTCTTTCATTGTTGATGAACAGCAAAAACAGCTGTAATTTGGGAAACTTAATACCTGTTAACACATGCAATAAATATCCTTTGACCTACCTTATTTGAGGCATGTGAGTCACCTGGAGAATCACCTGGAGAGCTGCAAATGAACTAATGAGAGTCAGATGGTATAAATGATGGACCTTATTGATAAAGGAGCAGTAGTGAAGGAGTGATATGGGTAAATTGTAGAGAGGAGATTTGTTTTCTGTGGCACACCAATTTAAACAACAGCTGGGGATGTGGCTCAGTGGTAGAACTCTTGCCTTGCATGCACAAGCCCCTGGGTTTGATCTCCAGCACTACAAAACAACAACAAAACAAACCTAAACAACGGTGCATAATTTATAAATTTATAGTGCAAACCTTTTTACAAAGTGGACACCCTAGAGTAGGTAACATGTGGACAGAGTTCTATTTTGAGCAGCATTTTGCTGTGTATTAGTTATTTTTCCCTCATTGCTGGGACAAAATACCTGACACCTGGAGTTAAAGGAGGAAAGGTTTATTTAGTTCACAGTTTGTAGAGGTTTCAGTCCATAATCTACTGGCTCCAAGGCAAGGTGGCACATGGCAGAGGGGCAACCATTCATGGCAGCAGAAGACAGCAAAAGCAACAAGAGAGGGTGAGACAAGTCTCCTTTTGTCCCAGTCTACCAGGATTAGGGTGGTGCCAATCCAGTCAGTGGACTGAGCCAGCAGTCACTCACCGTTAACCCCAGCACCCTTAATCCCAGCTTTGTACTACAAATCAGTTACACACTCTAGATTCAGCCACCTCCGAAAATACTCCATGACCACATGAGGCTTTGGGGGAACATCTACACAAAAACCATAACATGCCAGAAGTAATGGATGTGCATTAGAGTGGAAATGGGTATCTTAAGTGAAAATAAGGATTTAGAAATGCAGGAACACATAGTCTTTTAAAATTCCAAGCTAAATATTGCCGTAGTGATAATGAGACTTGAAAACCCACCTGTTTGTGATTCTGCTGGAGTATTAGAGTAATTTAGTGCACAAAATATGGAGTGTTTATGTTGCATGGGTGTGTATGTTATGCTAAAGGTGAGAATTGGGGCTATTTATGAATGAGGAACAACTATTCATTAAATCAACTTTTATCATGAACAGTTTGTTGTTACTGGTGTGTGTGTCTTTGTCTTTGTGTCTTTTTGAGACAGGGTTTCACTATGCAGTTTAGGCTGACCTTGAACTCAGTTTGTAGCCCTGAACTTGCGGTGATCTCCTGCCTCAAACTCTCAAGTGCTGTGATTATGGACAGATGCCACTGTGCCTGGCCTGTCGTTATTGTTATTTGTTACAGCTGTTATTAAATTCAGACTTTATCTACTGGTTTTCCCAAGGTCATATCCAAAGTAGGAACTGTAGTGTTCCAAGAGGCTCAGGCTCATTCAGATTTTTTTTTCTGGTACCGGGAATCGAACTCACGATGTTGCGCTTGCCAGGCAGGTGCTGTGCCACTGAGCTAAATCCCCAGCCCCTCATTCAGATTTTAAGAATTCTCTATCAAGACCAGCCTGGGTTAAAAAGTGAGCTCAAGGCCAGCCTGAACTGCATAGTGAGACTCTGTCTCAAAAAAACAAACAAACAAAAAAAACAAAAAAAAAAGAAGCATTTCTTAGGCTAGCAATTAATCATCCCTAACAGTAGGACTATGCTACTGGATTTGTTGACAGCCATTTCTGAGGGGAAGGACTATATAGTAATTGCTATTATCCCATTTTCTTTATGAAGAAACAGGCATCAAGAAGCTAACTACCTTGTTCATGGTCATAGTCATTTAGTGGCAGAGCTGTGACTTAGACTAAAGCTGGCTGGCTTCAGAGTGTTTAATTAATAGGGTTGTGAAGATTTCTTACATTTCTTTCTTTTTTTTTTTTTTTTTTTTT